GTAGAAATATCTCCTTCAGCTGATTGTTTCTGTCAAATATCTTAGAAGAGTGCGACTAAATGTTTCATTTTTACACACGAAGTTGTGCGCAAAGAAACGTTGAGTGGTCTTGTAAAATTTTTTGGTGAATTGTGAAATAGAATTGTTTATATGAATGAAGTTGAAAGATTACTGAGAAAATAACACTGATTGAATTCAGTGATTGATATCTAAAATATGTAATTGTTGATAGTGATGATGCGTTTTGTTTGTTTCGAATGATGCTTACTTACTTACGGTAGATTGCCGTTAAAGCGACTTCACCCATGTACTTCCTCTCAATGGTGGTATTTGCACATTTTCCGCCATTTAATTCTATTGTCAGCAATCATCTTTACCGACTGTATCAAATTTGGGCTCTTCCATGTAGTATTTATGTTGCGACCGTGTAGTATTTATGTTCGAGTGATGGATTTTTTGTGTTTTAGTCATACGACTATAAACAATTGGCTGTGAGTGGGGTGTCGTTTGCGGTCAGAAAAGGAGAATGTTTCGGTTTATTGGGAGTGAACGGAGCCGGCAAGACGACCACCTTTAATATGTTGACGGGACGAATTCAGATCGGTTCCGGAGATGCATGGATTTGCGGCAAAAGGTTGGATTTGTTCGGTGGTTTTCGTGTTTGTTTTTGATGGTTTTTATTTTTTATTTTTTTTTTGAGATAACGGTCAATGATTTCATACAGCATTATTTAGTCAGATTTCATAGGTTGATTTTGATTGAAGCGGAATGTTTTTTGATGAATCAATTATCGTTTTATTTTGTTGTTGATTCGGAATTTTCTGACTCACTGTGAGGTGATGAAGAAATTTGAGAAAGTTGCAAGATTTTGATCAAAAATGAGTTGGAGTTTTATAAGATGGAAAAAATAAACGGGAAAAATTTCAATTGAATTCAATTTTTTTAGTGTGTATCAACGTGGTATTGGTAGTTTACGACAACTGGGATATTGTCCGCAATTTGATGCGTTGAATCTGAAATTAACCGCCCGTGAACAACTCACATTCTATTCACGTCTTCGAGCGATACCTGAGTATAAAATTGATGAGGTATGTCGTGTGTGTTGACGACGGCTTATGGTGATGGTATATTCGCGATGTGTTCGAAAATGAAATGTTCAAAATTGAGAATGTTCGAATGAA